TTATAGTCTAGTATGATTTTAACCATAAAATACTTCTTGTTCTTTTATAAAGTGAGCTATTTTTTTCCTGCTACTTATATATAAGTCAAGTTGCGCTTACATACATATAAAAAGGTTTAAATCTTATACTGGCCTCTGGTTGTTGTCACACAAGGGATTTTGAGAGCCACACTTAAATTATAATTTTATCCATACTTGCTTGGAAAAAGAAAAAATGAAAAAAATGATAAAGGGAAAAATGGTAATTTAACAATATGTAAAAGATATTATCTATGTGGTATTAACTATTCTTCATGTGACAATAACTAGAACTCTAATACTCCTTTATATAATTCTAGTACAATTAATATTTTAAATAAAACCAATCATTATATAAGATAAAAAATAATTACTGAGACTAAATATTTTATTTAAGTAGATTAAATATAACAAATATTACATTAATTGAATATATTTAGCCATTTCATTTATAGGGCACTCTATATTGTTAAACATATGTAAGAAAATATAATTTACTCAATCAAATAGTATAAAATTTTATTAAATCTCAACTTAGATCTTTCTCTCCAAAAAAAAAAAAAAAGGATTTGTTTTTTATTTTTATTTTTATTTTTAAAAGGAACTTATTATATAATGAGTCCCGTTTTTACCGTTACTCTTAAAACAGACTGTGTAAAAAAGGATCTTAATTGGGAGAGTAAATGCATAAGTGTATTAAGCTCTTAAGATAAGGGTGGAAGGGGTAAGGGGTTGGACAGAGTTTAAACACATGACCCAACCAGTGTCACCATTAATTGGCATCAGATGATATTTGCTTGCTTGACCAAATTAAGATATATATATATATATATTAATATATGTCAATACTTCATTAATTTGTTTGGTCAAACTAGGACCAAGGAATGCAATGTTGAAATGAAAGATGGATTTTCTTGACATGTGTTTTAACATGATAAGAATACAATAAAAACATATTTTTAATATTAATTTATATAAAAAATATAAAAATTAATTTCTATTTTAATACCAGTACTATTGTTTAGATGAATTTAATTAAATAAATAATAAAAATCATATTAACTTTTATTTTTTAAATTAATTAATACTAAAATATATATTCATTGCATCTTCAATATTAGAAAAACCCATAAAAGACACCAGTACTATTGTTTAGATGAATTTAATTAAATAAATAATAAAAATCATATTAACTTTTACTTTTTAAATTAATTAATACTAAAATATATATTCATTGCATCTTCAATATTAGAAAAACCCATAAAAGACACCTAATTTATTTGGTACAAATCTTTTTCTTATGTAGTACTTGAACGAAAAGAAAACGAGAGATTATTAATCGAATCAACTAAAAAAAATAAAAAAATAAAAAGAAAAAAGGTATTTGCACACGCATTATCTCTAAGTATTTAACTATATGGTCTTTCACGTTAGATCTAGAGGCTGACTTTTGCAATTTAGTTTCAATTTTTGTTGGGGGTTTTAGAAGAAAATATAATATTAAAATATATATATTGCATCTTCAATATTAGAAAAACCCAAAAAAGATACCTAATTTATTCGGTAAAAATCTTTTTCTAGGACTTGATCGAAAAGAAAACGAAAGATTATTAATCGAATCACCTAAAAAATAATAAAATAAAAAGAAAGAAGGTATTTGCACACGCATTATCTAAGTGTTTAACTGTATGGTCTTTCAAGATAGATCTAGAGGTTGACTTTTGCAATTTAATTTCGATTTTTGTTGGGGATTTTAGAAGAAAATTTGAGTTCTCAATGAAGAGTTTGATTCAAACTTTTGGTCAATATGAACAGTGACATCACAACTAACGCAAGGATTAAGGACTTCAAAGCTCAAGCCTCCTTTTTATTCTCCGACCACTAATTTGTTTCTCCTACAATATGATGGAAAGCGGAAAAAGGGAAATGCAAGAGAGTACTTTGTTTGCTCTTTTTTATAGTTACCTTAATCCTTTATTTTTTTTTTTGTTAATTAATTTAATGTTTTATATATTGAATTAATAATAGTTTAACTTGTTTTTTATCTAAATAAAATTACTCAATAGAAATTAGAGTATGTACTAAAAAAAAAAAATATTGTCATCTGTTTGTTACATAAAAGAATTAAGTCAAATTATATGAAAAAAATGAGGGTTTGTCTTAAGAATGTCTTAAACGCATCTTTTAAACATTAATTTACATGAGAAAATAAAAAAAATGGTATTAATCTTATCGCTTATACAATGTAGATATTTTTAATAAAATAATTAATAAAATTAATGTTAATTTTTTAATATATATTAATAATAAAGAAGTATAATAAATGTATATTTAATTTATACTCTAAAGATACAAATTTTAAAAATTAAAAAAAAAAAAGTCAAGCCAACTAAAACGGATGGAAATGAGAAGTAAAAGAAAAGATAAAGTAGGAACATAAAAATAACATTCCCAAGCTAGCCAAGCTCAAGAGCTGTAAAGTGTAAAGTTAGCCTCCAAAAGCTAGCATTCACTCAACCAATACGAATGCGAAAATTAGTTAGGTTGTCATACCGCAATCATAGATGCACTATATATATATATATATATATAGGAATTATGTAAACGGTGTTTTAAGGACATAGAATGTATTAATTATATTTTTTATATTTAATTTTATAAAAAATCATAAAAATTGACTTTATGTTTTTATCATTAATATCATATGCATAATTTTAATTAAACAGTTAATAAAATTAAAATTATTTTTTAATTTTTTTGTTATAAATTAATTATAAAAAGATACAATAAAAATATCTTTCGGTTATAAATTCCCTTTTATTACGAATTATACAATCTCATGTGATATATATATATATTGTGATAAAATGTATAATTGAATTAATAATTGAAAGGCAATTACAGTGCAAAATATACCATGCCATATAGGTTGTGCAAGAGAGATAAATAAACTAGGTAAGACCTATAACACTAATATAGAAAGCTAAGTACTCCATAGAAATAGAACAATTAAGAACTAGGAACATCTAAATCCTAA